ATATCCATGCGGGATAGACCACTCAAGGAGTACTGTGATGAAGTTCTGTGGAATAACATAAAGGCTTAAACAGTTTTTTAAAACCAGCGAAGAAGTATGATATACTCTAATCTTCAGCTACACAGTAAACTGTTAATGCTCACCTGCGGTACTATACAGCAGCAAGGATCGTCTTCCAATTCGTTCTATCAAATAGATTCCGATGAAAGTGCAGAAAAAATTCACTCCTGACGTAACGGATGTCATCCATATGCTCATGGTTCGACTTCGTATTCCACCAGACTGGATGATAGAAGCACTGTAGTACCTAAAATCAGACATAAATCAGTATCTAAGCTAAATCTTTATATTTCAAGGTTCGAGATGTTAAGCACATAATAAAAGCAGTCCCATTAATTGACAACTCCGTCTGTGCAGACTGTAGTCTCTGATGACAAAGAAGGAGGGTTCGGGACCGTGACGAGGTCTCCCAAAAAATGAACAAAACCACTGAGTGGAAGTCTCCAAAAAGAATACCTATCTTACGGGCAACGTTACGCTATGCTAGAACTTTTAACTTGTTTAGGCATATGCGCTCATTATGGAAACAGAACATGCAGTTCTTTTCCAACAAGGCAGGATGAGGCTTTTATGAAATGCCGACTGCAGAATCCATTATTTTAATGTACGCTTTCGATGTGCGGTTTGAAACAGATGCTGAAAAGTGGAAAGGCGTGGTTGGAAATAACGGCCCTAGCGACCTCAACAAAAACGGCATGAGGTTGCTGCGGTTTTGCGCACCATTAAGAACACCTTCTTGGAGCGTCGAAGAGTGTAGCGGTATAGCTGGTACAGGAAAGCCGATGATCGATTTGATAATCGCACTGTTTGACTTAAGACGGTCAGTAATGGATGTTTGCGTTAAGAGCAGCAGAACTGTTAATTGGTCATTGACTTGCTGCCAACCTCTGGTCGGACAAGCGGAGTACGTGCGAAGACAGGGCGATATGAGCAATCAGAGAAGGAGAGAGTAAATATCATCTTCAGGTACGAGGTATAAAGCAGACTCGCAAGCCACCTGGACGTCAAACACGGTCTTCATGGTGAAAAAGAGAGGTAGTGCTGGCTGATGCTCAAAAGAAGGCGGCATTCAAAAGATAGTTCAAAGCAAGGAGCCTTCGACTTGCATGCGTATGCCAAAGCGCGCAACGTGACAGCGAAAGCCAACGCTGATTCCTGAGAGAATACCGGTGAGGTGTTGGAGTCAAATTTCCACGCGGGAAACAAAGTATTCTGGCAGGCCATTCGGGTAAAAAGAAGGACAGTCTAAGAGTTTTGAAGACCAGGTCCAGACACCCTCTTACCAAGGATGACGACATTCTTCGGCGATGGAGAAAGTACTTTGAGGAACTCCTTAACAGAAGTAGAAGACTGCCGCAGGAAGACTCGCCTGTAGAGCAGCACGGCAGGAAACGGACATTACTCTCTCTGTAGATGAAATTACACAAGCTGTGAAAAGATTGAAAAACGGAAAGACTGCTGGAATTGATGAAATCTGTCTTGAAATGCACAAAAAATTAGGAAAAGGGTATGTAATGGCTTTCACGCGTCTGTCAAATTCTAATGGCTATGGAGAAGATACCAGCGGACTGGCAAACGGGCTTTTAGTACCTCCTTTCATGAAAGTAGATCATTGGGAGTGCTCCACTTCAAAATATTTAGGGCGTTACTTTATTCAGCTTCCGAATAAAGTCTAAGCGAAGGTGTTGGAAAAGAGGTGGCGCGTAGTAACTGACTCTAAGATGCCAGAACAGCAATGTGGCTTCAGGTGTGAATATAAGAACCTCTGACGAAATATTCGTCTTACGCCAGATTATTAAGAAATCTTGGGAGTTCTCTCATTCGGTTTGCTGTACTTCGTGGATCTAGAGAAAGTCTATCATTTTTGGATACCCCTGCAAACATGCGGAGTCAATGGACAGTTGCTAGGCGCCATGCAGTTGTTCTTCGCTGTGCAAGAGTAAATCGCTTTGAGTCAACGACCTCTTTCAGAGCCGGCACTGGTCTCCGCCAAGACTGCGTCCTGTCCCCTATCCTGTTTGTGTTGTACATGGATAGAATAGTGAGGAGCTGCCAAGGCGATGAGGGTCGGTGTATGAGATGTGAAGTCGAGAAGGTTGCTGTTTGCAGACGACCTTGTTTTATCAGTATCTTCTGAAACAGATCTCCAGTGCTCCCTAAAAAGGTTCGCAGCCGAGTGCGACGTGACCGGCATGCGTGTGAACGCATCTAAGACGAAAAGACTAGTGCTTTCTCGTTCTCCTGCCCGCTGCTCTCTTCAGATTAACGGAGAGGTACTGGAGCGGTTGGAGAGTTCAGTACCTCAGCGTTGCTTAGTAGTGATGGAGTGAGCTATCGATATCATGGTTTCTCAAGTGTTTAAACCCTCTCTTCATATCGATATTGCAGTTGTTAAGCATTTAATCTGCAGAGATTCTGATCCTGCCGTAGCGTAGGAGCTACAGTTACGTTTGAGCACTTACATCACAGTGTTAATGCCGCAGAGTTGCTGGAAGGTTTGTAACATGCAACCAATGAGCAGCGCTTTCCTGGTAGTCGACTGTTTCAGCATGGACATGACGATGTTGGAACCGCCTGAAACAGCACTTTACACTGATAACGCGAAATGTACATTACTTTCCAGATGAGCTTCTAGCGGTGCACTAGGAAATTTCAATATGGCTAAAGTTAGTGTATAAATTAATAATATACTAAACATAACTGTAGTAGTCTTCATTATAATTAATGTTGGGCGCATATAATTTTATTTATTACTCGGTTATTAAGTTTCGCCATGCGTTAATAGTCTTAACATCCTTGAGGAGCATCGCGGCCATAAGGCCTCGTCAAATAACATGACTAGTCCAAAACTATGTTGTCCTGAGTGTCAACAGTTGTAGACTCTGTGCAGTTTCTTAACTGGATGTACCTTTTCACATTGAGACGAGTTCCATACATGGCGGATTAGCAGGTGTTGAGAATCATTTA